GAGTTTCATTTATTTTCGTCCAGGAGTTTTCCTGTAACTAAACTTAGAAGAGAGTCACTTCTGATTCCGAGCGCCCCCAAAAATACCCCTCGCTCGGAGGCCGATTTCCGGCACAAGGCGCAGCGGGCGATTGGCATTGCTAAGCAAAAGGAAATAAACAGAATACCAAACTCATAGATTAGACCTACTTTACAGTTTTCCTTGAATTTATTACTGAATCCCTTATAGATCTAGCGAGAATCCTGCTATAACGGACATTTTGCTCCGGTCCCCACCCTCTCGTTATAACAAGATTCCACTGTATCTAGATATCTAGATCTAGATCTAGATTTTATTCTAGATATAGAGTAGAGTCACTTCTGATTCCGAGCGGCCCCAAAAATACCCCTCGCGCGGAGGCCGATTTCCGGCACAAGGCGCAGCGGGTGATTGGCATTGCTAAGCAAAAGGAAATAAACAGAATACCAAACTCATAGATGAGACCTACTTTACAGTTTTCCTTGAATTTATTACTAAATCTTGCGAGAATCCTGCTATAACGGACATTTTGCTCCGGTCCCCACCCTCTCGTTATAACAAGATTCCACTGTATCTAGATATCTAGATCTAGATCTAGATTTTATTCTAGATATAGAGTAGAGTCACTTCTGATTCCGAGCGGCCCCAAAAATACCCCTCGCGCGGAGGCCGATTTCCGGCACAAGGCGCAGCGGGTGATTGGCATTGCTAAGCAAAAGGAAATAAACAGAATACCAAACTCATAGATGAGACCTACTTTACAGTTTTCCTTGAATTTATTACTGAATCCCTTATAGATCTAGCGAGAATCCTGCTATAACGGACATTTTGCTCCGGTCCCCACCCTCTCGTTATAACAGGATTCCATTGTATCTAGATCTAGATCTAGATCTAGATCTTATTCTAGATAGATTCTATATATCTAGAATCTAGATGACCTCGTCTCTCATGAACTTACCGTCCCCGCCTTCCGTAGCTACCGCGTCTGGGAGGCCCACGTCTGTGAGGCTCTGAGGGTCTTCCATAACGTGCCATTTGACATCGGACTTCTCTTCCATCTAAGAGTGCACCATCCATAGAATCCATTGCATCTTCAGCATCTCGCTTGTCATAAAAACGAACAAAAGCAAATCCTCTGCTTTCTCTGGTAAATCTATCCCGAGGAATGTACACATCTCCAACGTCGCCATACTTTTCGAACGCACGCCGCAAATCTTCTGGGGTGGTTCTGTAAGTTAAATTATCTACTTTCAGCGACACCATCCCATCGATGCTGGGAGGCCCTCTACCATAGCTGCTCATCGTCGTGCAGGTACTGTCGGTGCACAAAGGACACGATAAAATCCTCGGAGTCGAGTCGGAGACACTTGAATTTGAAAGTTATTGTATTTTAGCAAGCTCGTCTGTATGGACTCTTCCGGCGGCGTGTCCTGTTTGAGCGGGACATTGAGCGCATGCGTAACTTTTCCGTAAATTTACGAGCTCAAACGAAAAGTGTCGAGAAAAAGTCATGTGATATTTTATTGTACAAGATGGCGATCCACTGTTGTGAATTTCGTTTGTTCAACATTGTTATTTTGGGCGTTTCTTTTATGCTCATATTTACTGCCTTTCAGACATGTTCAATGGTCGAGGTAAGATAATTACACCTTGCTTTTCATTCTAATTGAAAATAATAAGGTTTACCCCCGTTTTTAAAAAAGATATCATGTATATTTGTATTGTAGGAGTAGATCTAGTTGGCCTAGTGGCCTAGTCGAACTACTCTGTCTCTAGATATCTTCTAGGCTACTGTAGATCTAGAGTCTAGATCTAGAATAGATCTAGATTAGTATGTAGGATTAACTTCGTCACAGACCTGCAATTTCCTTTCTTCTAAACCAACTCAGTAGAGACTAGTAGAGAGGATTAGGCACTTAACTAGGCCCTAAGGTAACATAACTATAACCTTTACTTTAGGCTTTAGGTTAGGCGAGGCCTATAATCCTATAATGTATACGCCTACTTCCCATTCCCCACGGTGGGAAATGATATTATTGCCCTGAGTATGCAAGGTTTTGTAAGTGCTGTAGATCTAGATCTTGATCTAGATTAGTAAAACACTCCAAAATTATGCTATACTATAATTTAAATATATAGACTTATTAGATCTTGTTTAATGAAGTAGGCCCTACCTACCTAAGACTAAGATGAATTATTTACATATGAAAGCCGGGTGATCTGTTATCTGTATTCCATTACTGTTAATGATCCAGCTACTCCCATGTTATCTATCTGTAGACTGTTAGAGTTACAGTGTAGAAGAAGTAGTAGTAGTACTGTGACTGAGTGAATGGCTTAACTAACTTTTCTTTTACATTTTTTATTAAAAGTTATAAAATGTGAACTTTTTAATGTGACGAGATCTACATGATATCATGGGCCTAGTTTTACTACAAGGTAAGAGTGTATAATGTTGCATCACATTTGCTGCATGTGGTATGACATCATGTTAGATCGTATTGCAAGATATGAGGACACTTAAAATGTCATCTTTCTTCTTTTCATGCATCGATTATTGCAATGCTTTACTAGCTAACATACCAAATACCACTCTTCACAAGTTACGTTTTCAAAAAGGAAGTGGCTATTCTCACCCCGGATGAGACTTGTCAATGTTGGCTGTTCTCACCTGGTGTGAAACAAGACATGTTTTTCCTAATTTCTGAATACTGTCTATCGGTGTGGATGATCAAATTGACAAAAACAAAGAAAAAATGATGTTATAGCATAAAAGTTACAAACGAATTTGGTCGTCTACAAAGATGCTCTATGGCTATTTCACTTTTCGAATCAAGCCGAACTACGCGGTTCGCCATTTTGTTTTGCATGGCAGATATCTCTCTCTCTCTCTCTCTTTCTCTCTCTCCCCCCCCTCCCCTCCATCTCTTTCTCTGGTGAACGCTAGGCCTACATTGGTTAGCCTATCACCGTGACGCACACCGGGGGAGAAAAGCCAAAAGCATGGGTCTCAATATTCTGCTATTTAGCGGATTTCCGCTACCGCCATTTCCTCCGCTAAACTCGGGTCAATCAGAAAGAGAGTTGGTGGGAGCAGAGTGACTGCCAGGCCTCGGGAATTACCCGGGAATTTGAAAAAAATTGCCGAGACGCGGGAAAATACATAAAAGATCTCGAATATTATTTGAAAACCAAATCTGATTTAAAAGTCTTTAAGTTCGTTTTTGCCGGTCGCGATTGTAATATTAATTAGGCTTTTCCTGGTCTGAGAGTACGTTTCATGCGAACAGGCGACTATGGCGGCAAGCGGTGTTGTATGTGACACCGAGGCTCGACCGGAAAATCAAGATCTCAGAAATCTGTCTGTAAAAGTCTGAATACGCAACATTTGTAACATGCAGGTTCTGCATTACAAACGTAGTGTCGCCATGAAAATAATGTTTGTCACTGTGCTGTCGCTTGTGGGGCCAAAAAAAAAAAGAAAAGAAAGTTATACAAGCGTCTTGTCAGGCTCCTCATTGTGACTGGTCAATGAACCTGCGCGCGTACTGAGCGCTGTGAAGTACAGGACTCCTGAATGGGAGGGGGGAGATTATTGATTTTTTTAAAAAGATACTCTCGGGGATGGGGGGAGGGCTTGACGCAACACCAGAGGACAAAAAAAGAAAATAAATTGGAAGCAAATTTTAATATTTAGAATTTTGATTACTACTACAGCTCTCTGCAAAGTAAAGTGCGCGTTAGTGCATGCCTTGTGTATAATCAGGATCCATCATAACTACTTGTAAGCATGTTAATGAACTTAGGGCAGGGGCCTTAGAGTTCGCGTTTCATTGGATGGCTGACAGTAAATTATGTCTCTATATTTTAGCTTTTTGTTCAAGATTCACCGATTTTCAGTGCCACTGCATCTTGCCCTCCCACAGTTCTTACACCTCTCACTCTGAATAGGTTTACTTGAGCTATTCAAGTTATTTTCTTCTTTGAGTTTAAGCATTAATATTGTCTTTCACGTTTATTATACGAATCATTACACCCAGACTGGTTCATGACAGTCGATATTCTGGTTCTAGGCCCTTTCCCAGGCTCAAAACAAGATTCATTTTTATATAGTTTATATATGCAGGCGAATATGATGAAAGTAAAATATAAATAAGTTGCACAAGACCACAGTGCTCCTCCACTTTCTGTACGTAATCAAGATTGTAAATATTTGGTTAGTGACCCTTACTTGAAATTATCTTCCAAACCCTCAAACTGGTATGAAATAATCTTGCTTTGATAAATTGATGGTTTTTATTTCAACATTCTAGGGTCTAACAGTATAATAATAGTGGGTATCTCGCAAAAATGGGCTTCTGTTGCGATCACGCGGAAAGTTCCTCCTTTTAAAAAATTCTGAGTTGAGACCCATGAAAAGGCTCACCTGCGCTATTCTCACTGGGGGTGAGAATAGAGGTGGCCTTTTCAAAATCATGTTGCTAGGCTTGTACTAAAGAAAAAGAAAAAGGATCACATCACTTCCATTCCCATGTTAAGAACGTTGCATTGGCTCCCCGTGTCAGTTAAATATAAGAATGTCTAATGAATAAAATTGCAACATTATGTCATAAATGTTTAACAAAGTTCCCTCATATCTTAGTGATCTCATCCAGATTTAAGTTCCATCTAGATCACTAAGCAGGCGGTCAGTATCTTTTAAGAGTTCCTTGAAAAGGAGGTAAAAAATTAGCTGAAAGATCGTTTGCCCACCTTGCTCCATCAGTTTGGAACTCTCTTCCCCAACCCTTGAGACTTACAAGATCTGAGTCTAAATTTAAAATATCTTTAAAGACACATTTAATTACATCATTTTTATGTCAGTAGATTCATTTTCAGTACAATGTTATGTAAATGACTATATGTATCCATTTATTTTTACAGGGTGAAAAAAACTGTACAACTTTTTTTTCTAAATCTCTCGCACAAAATTTGTGCTAGAGTGTTGTAATTTGGAACAGATATAATTCATTGAAAAGGAATTGGTTTGACATAAAATTCACAAAGAAGAAACTAATTTTCAAAACCGGAATTGGCTTTTATAAAAACCGCCTATGAATGCAAAATGCACCAATTTAAAAGATCTTTTAAGAAAAGTCACAAAATGATTGGGTTTTTTTTCTCTTTCTTTTTCCTTTTATAGCTAAAATCTAATCTTTCCATCCCTGTAAACCGTTAAACAATATTTCTTTTTTCCTACTGAGTTAAAATTGTTTTTAAAAATTCTGGAATTCCAAGAACCAATGGTCTGTATGTCTTCCTTTTGACTGGACACATTTTAACGCGTCGTTCGTAATGTGCACTGGTGGCCAAACACAATGATCCACTCAACCATGAGTACTCAAAGCCACACACACTGTACACCTTACAGTATAGAGCTGTTCTACAGACAAAGGGGGGGGGGGGTGATGTTGCTCAATTAGACACCATTTGTGGAGTTGCTATAACCTGAAAGGTGAATATGGGCTTTGCCGAGGAACCAAATGTCGTAGAGGAAGTATTGTGCTTTTCAAGACCATCGAGGAATCATTGCTATCCTTTGATAGCTTCGCGAAGGGAAAATGGTACAGTCGTAGATGAAGATCTGCCTTAAGAATGCAGACCGTTGAGATGTAGGAAAGTCTTTGCTGCAGACATGTTCTACGGACAGACTTCTCATGGGGCTCATCTACTAAATTCTGCACCCTGGTAATGTTTAAAGGGGTGCGAACGGTGTGTGTTTGACCTGAAATGGTCGTTTTGTCTGGGAAATTTTTGTTCTAAGTCTCTACAGGTCCTAACTGATGGACCATTTCCACCCTTGCCATCAAAGAAGGCCTAAAGGACACTTTAACATTATTTCAGTACCTTGTTCGAAACTTATGAAATGAGTTGGTGGTGAGGAAATGTTCAATACAAAAAGCTCTCTGCTCTTTACTAATTTTAATCATGATCTCAGCAGGTAAAGGAAACTTGAGAAAAACTGTCTGCAAACTTTTATTGGTCTGTTAGACTACTGTAGTTTGCTATATGGCACAATCGTAGTGATTTTTAGTGGTAGGCCTATTAATGCGAACTTGTGTGTCATGCTACGAAAATGGGGACATAGCTGAAAATGGGCTGTTTTGTTACGCTATGTAGAGCAAAACTATTCTGTGGATTTATCTAAAATGAATGTCAGATAAATTCCTTTTGGCTTCCAAATGTTGAGTATAAATTTGAAACGCAAAACTTCAGTGTGGAGGAAAATATTTAAACAAAAATTTGTAGTTTTTTTTTTGGGATCACTCTGTATTTTGCAAAATGCATTGCTATATTATCTTATTATCTGTGCTCTTTTCGTAATGATGTGTAAGTGTGCACGTGTGATAAGCAAGTAGATGTGTGTGTATTACTGTATGTGTGCGTGTGTGTTTGGCGTACATGTGGGTGCATGAATGTGGGTGTGTATGTGTGCGTGCGTGCGTGAATATTGTTCATACATGCATTTATGTTTAAGTGCCTAGAGCTGTGATCACATGGGAGTGGGCACCATTGAAATGATCTACAATATTATTATTTTCTTCTTCTTCTTCTTCTTAAAAACCCACTTCTTTCTTTCTTTCCCTCTCTCTTTGGGGACTCTCTTGGTCTAAAGGTACGGTGTTCACCTCTCATACAATAGGTCCTGGGTTGGAATCCTGACAGTGGTAGAAAATTTCTCTTCTCAAAATTTTCTTATCATGTTCTATCGTTTGCTTTCGTTTCCGCCTTGACAGACAGCCCTGATTTTTACAAAATCCGAGTAAAAGACAGCAAGGAATGTTTCAAAATCTCTTACTCTGAAAGTGTTATTGGGTTACCAATGCATACTGCAAAGTTTCCGAAAGGAGCAAAACCACCACATGCAGCACGGAAATCCTCAATGAATTTTAGCCAAATTTGCTGTTTTTATGGACTTGTGTGTGACACCACGGACATTCCTCAGTTAAAATTTCTGTTCACGTAATAAATATACGTACGGTCTCAAACTGTGCTCACTTTGGTGGCAATATAAGCCGCCATTTGTGCAAAAACCAGTATCACATCAACATGCCACCATGACAAAAGCTGAGAGACTTTGATGGTGTAGGGCTATGGCATGGCTGCAGGATGGAGTTGGGGCCAGAGAAGTTGCCAGAAGGCTTGCAGTGTCACACTCTGGTCATTGTCCGCTTGAGGCAGCGCCATCAAGCCACCGGATCATTCCACAAACGCTCACGTGCAGGTTGACCCAAGAAGACCACTCAGAGTGTTTGCAAGTGGTCCTTAACTTGTGAAGTCTGTAGATTTGTTAGAAGCAGAAGTTGTGAAGTACGTTTTTCTACTTACCCTGTTATTGATTTCTAAGCGTCACATATTGTCTTACTGGAACATTGCATTTCACATCTTTGAGTCTCTTCAGTATGCCTCTACTGGTACTCTTTAGCCAAACTAAGGCTCATAATATGATAATATGCTCCTGACACTTTGCTCGTCAAAAATGCTTTTGGCAGATTAAATTTCTGATTCAGGGATTTTTTTTCTTGCCACACTGCATCGACTGACTCATGTGAAATAATGCTCCCTATTTTTTTAACACCATTCTCATGCATTGATTAGCACTTTTTTTGTGGATTTTTATTTGTCTTACGCCAATTTCATGATTCATCTTTACTCCTGTCGTTAACCGTTACTTTTAAAAGATATTTTTGATGCTTTGTTTTGGAATGTAGCCGTCAGATTTGAAAATGACTCTTCCCAGGATATGTGTGTATGTGGGGGGGGGGGGGGGGGGGGGGGGGGGCTGGCTGCCCCTGGTTTCTTGAAAGTCCATGCCTCAGGCTTTGGGAGTGGTAGTATAAAAATACAATCAATTTTGTCTGATATACACAGCCATTGATAATTCTTCTAGCACATATTAAATTAGAATTGTTTTTATTTGGTAATGTATTGTAAAGGGGTTTGGGATGATTGCATCCACCATTTAGTGTAGCAGCGGTGACCAAAGCTTTGAAATAAAGTCTGTGCTCATATCATTTCGAATGTTGTTTTTTTGTTTTTTTTCTCTTTCTTTTTTCCATTTTAATTTGTACTAGTCCTGTGAACTGATGGTTATCGGTTTCAGTTTCAAAGGCAAATGATAAATTGTGACTTACAATTTTATTATTACAATAGGAAGTATTTGCTCATTCACACAGTATTAACAAATTGGTTGATGAAGAATGCAAATGGGAAAATATGTATTTGAAAAGAAGTACAATGTCACGACTATCTACTTTCAGAAAACTGTCTTGGACAGTGTGGAAAAGAATAATGGCACGGCAGGGAATGCGTACACAAGGTGAGGCTTAAATCTTATGGGGAAATTTGAGAAACACACTATGTGATCAAGTCTGTTGGTTTTGTAAAAAAAGAGTTCGTTTTTTGCTTGTTTAGTTTTTAAGTACTTAGTTGTAGTTGCTTTTTTTTTCTTTAGTATTTTTTACCTCAGCTATTCCTGTGAATGCCTGTCTACAAAGCAACATTATTTACATTAACAATATCAGGGAAAATAACGTCAACTTTCTTTCTTTGGGCTACTGTTGAGGATATAAGGATATTTTTGTCCAAGTATCAAGAGAACACTGATAATAAAAGAAGTTTGTATCCCTGGTTGTGCAAGCAAAGCACTTAATTGCGTTTGGGTACTTTTTACACACAAGACAAAAAACTGGTTTTAGTTGTGTTGTTCTTATCAGGAATCATGAAACACAAGAAAATTGTAAGTCTTGGCCATAGCACTAAACTGCATTTTGGTGATGCTGAAAAGTGCATCTTCGATAGAGCTTTGGGAGGGTGTAAAAATAAAAAATTCTCAAAATTTGAACTTACATGGATTGCTTTCGACAACAGAAAAATGTTGCTTTGACATTTACACTTTTCCTTCAACCGCAACAGATAAATTAACTTTATCTGTCCTTTCTAGGTTTTTTCTTCTTGGCAGGATCAAGACTAGTGCCTTATTGGCAGGGATTCCATTGCAGTTTGCTCTTTCTACTTTCATTTTTTTTGCATTTCTATAGCCTTGTACAATTCTTGATTTTACTGTAGAACACACTTAGAGCAAGAGATGCAGCAGTAAGGCAGAACAGTGCGTCTTTTGAAACGATTCAGGGAATGATGGAATAAAGTTCTTGAAGAAAGTAATAAGGTCACTATCTTATGTGTACCTGTGATTGCTGTGTCTGGCTTATTTAGCATTGATGAAGCTGAGCGTGGAGGAAAGCACACAGAAATAGATGGTAGGGAAGTAAAATATTAGTCATGAAAAGTACACAGTTGAAGATGTCTGTCAAAGTATCATAGACCATTATTGTTCTGAATAATTATGCCATAGGTTTTTAAAAAAAATCCAGAGTAGTCCAATCATAGTCTCATGAGATCTTCACTCTGATTTTGTCCTCAGCTTGGGTATCTTGTATGCAGTCTTCTCAGTCTCCAACTGGGCTGCCCCGTCGTTTGTGGCCTTTACAGGGCCCAAAATAGCCATGTTCATTGGGTCCCTCATGTATTTGTAAGTTTTTCTCATTATTTATATATGAAAATTGTTAATTCTTGTGTGTTGGACAAATTGAAATGGAGGTTTTAGATGAAAATAATGAAAGTCACGTTTTTGTCACACTTTAGTTGAAAGGCTAGATTGATAGCTTTTTCGTTTGTAGTCATAACCAGTTTGTGTCGCTTTCTACGCAGTAAGCAGTTGCTAACGTCAAGAAATTGCTCTTTAGGAAAATTTATCCTTTAAACTGAAATGGTTGCCTGGCCTGGTAGACTGACATAGTTTGTATTGAGGTGTAGAACTACTCTGAAGACCTTTTATGTATTTATCAACATACAAATTTTGTAAAAATTTTTCTTAGCCCGTGCTTTTTGTTGTCTGAATACAGTAATGAGTTCATGTTTTTTGTTGACTTTTCTCCCCCCCCGCCCCCTCCCACAAATCAGTCTGTTTGTCCTGCAATTTCTCAAGCCAATGGTTTGGGCTCTGTATCTGGGATCAGTGCTGGTTGGATTTGGAGCTGCGAGTAAGGTTTTTCTTTGAACTCTTTTGTTCTTTACATTGTGAGACTTTTCTGTGTGAACTTGACTTTTGTCTTCAATACACCTTTCCACATTACATTAAAATGCAACAACTAAAAAAAACCCTTGCTCTTTTCAGAGGAATGCTGGAATGATCAATTTAAATTTTAGGGTCATTACATTACAAAAACTTGTGATGTTCCAAATGGGTTAGGAGAATTTGCCATTTATAGGAATAATTTCAATAAATTTGAGGCAGTGTGGTGAAATCAGGCGCTCTTCAAAATAATGAAACCGAAGAAAAAGGCATTTTTCCGCTGCATTGGCAATTTTTATCGAATTTTGTTTTCTAAGTCTTTGCGTAACCTCTTTTATGTTCATTTCAAAACACATTTCTGTATGGATTTTATTGGAAAACGTTGATTAAAGGTATAAAAAATATAGATTTTCGGTTTCCAAAGATTCTGAAGCTTTGGAATTCACCAAACTTTAGCAGTCATTTTCTCCCTAATTTTACCTTTGACACCGGACTACCCCCACTTATTTCAATCGTGAATATCTCTTCTATTCAAGATAGACGGGCTTTTTTTTCACCGATAGCAGGACAACTGAATAAACTTTAAGATGATACCAATAACTCCACATGCCCAAAAACTGACCAGCGCCTGATTCCACCAGGTTGTGACACAAATGATTGAATTCGGTAAAGAGACGAAAAGTAGGATTAAAGTGCATATTAACCTTTCTCAGTGACTCAGAAGTCTTGGCTCCTTTCAGCTACTGCTTCATAGGTTTGGGATTAGATAATCAACCTCACTACTTTCATATGCTCAGATGGCCACAGATATCAGCTCAGGGATCAAGCCACCTCGTTTTCATTTGACAATAAAATATCCAGATGGTAGAGATCCTTGAATTTGATCATGTGGTTATAAAATAGGGACCCATAGCTGAGGCATATTATTATTGTCACAAGGCTAGATTTTTTTTGTGTGCCTCATTGACTCATGCTTTGCTTTTGTTTCTCTATCCAGCTGTCGCTTAAGGAAGTGGCCCTTGACACCTTTTTTCACCTTTTTTTTCTTTCCATTTCTTCTGAGTTTCCCCTTAGTCGAAGCTGCGTGCCTCCCCAATGGGCTAAATTGTGTTTATGAGAATGTAAAACACTTATAAACTATAATTTATATGTCTGAAAGGAGAGATGAAGATAATAGCCCTAATCACATGCGAATTTGGAGCCACAGTAAATTTTGTGCAGTTTTGAAAAAATCAATATTTTGCTATTCAACCTCACACACCGTAACCCTTGAATTGAACATGAATTTATTTGGCTTAAAAAATCCCTTTGTGTTTCTTATGGTTACCTCATTTTTTTTTTCACTTTGTGAAGTGGGTTTTTTTGTGTGATTAGTCTTTAAATTACCATTGTATGCCTTTAAAAAAACCTTTTCATTGTTACTCTACAGTATTATGGACAGGCCAAGGCAATTTTCTGACTATTAACTCTGACTCTGAGACTGTGTCTCGAAACAGCGGGATTTTCTGGGCTTTGCTACAATGCAGGTGAGTTGTCTGTTTCATATCTCCCTCACGTTTCCTCTTTGTTGCTTGCTTGGGGCCACCAGCTGCGTCTCTGAAATGCTAGCAGAGCCACAGCCCCGAATGAACTCATTGGGAGGGCTCTATGTTTTCCCATGGATTTACTAATGCAGCAATAAGTCGAGTGAAATTTATATAATGGCATCTTGAGATGTGTTAGCCTCTGTGGGGATACTGAAATTTTCAGTTACCATTTTGTGTTCTCCATCCCCGCTTCTTCAGTTTGTTCCTTTTCCTCGATTCTTGTATTTGGACTATTCCCTTTTCCACACCATTTGAATTTTGGTTTCTATCCCCATCTCTACACAGATTCTTCTACTGGTTCTACACACTTTTCTCCACTGCTTTCTTTTGATACTCTGTTTTCTTCTCTTTTGAGCTTCTTCAGTGGATTCTACCCATTGCGCTACATGGCTTCTACCTACTGCTTTACACTGTCTTAGTTTTTTCTTTGATTTCTGGAACCTTCTTTGACTGTTGAAAACTTTTCTATTGGGTTAGATCACTTTTCTCCAACACTTATTTAATTCTGCAGGTGCTGCATTCTTCTCTTCAAAATTTTTCTTTGTTATTTTGATTAAAATTTTAAAAAAATTTCTATTGATTTTACGCAGTTCTCTTCAAAACCTTTTGTATGGGCCCAACATCTTTCCCAGCAACATTTTTGCTGTGGTTTCTGAACATTTCTCTCCAAAACTTTTTATTTGAGGTTTCTACACAGTTCTCTTGACTTGTTTTTTCATTGAGTTCTACACAGTGGCGGCTCGTGGTTTATAGAGCTGACCGGCCATCATTCACATAGACTATTTCTTCCTCCCCCCACCCCCTTCCTTCACAACACACACACACACACACACACAAACACATTCTCTCTCTCTCTCTCTCTCTCTCTCTCTCTCTCTCTCTCTCTCTCTCTCTCTCTCTCTCTCTCTCTCTCTCTCTCTCTCTCCTCATTTTATACTCCTACTTTCGCCATGCCCACCCCCTCCCCCACTCACACACACACTACTGTAAACATTTTAATATAATGTGAAAGAGCTGAAATATGGTAGTGTCAAGAAACAATATTATAATTAATGTATGATGGAAGTTACTGAGTTAATAGAAACTGACTTGAACGGCATGGAAAAAGAAACACTCTAGAGTCTATGCTAGAAAACAAACTGGAAATGAGAAGCCCAATAAACTGCTGGTCATGGCCTCTGGTACTTTAACCAAAGACTTTTTCTTTCTACACACCCACACACAATATCGACGTGCACTCGACCTGTAAATATGTAATAAGAACAGTACTGTATGATGGCAAAAAGTCAATTGATACTGTACCAATGACGCTGTCCCATGCAGATTAAGTCTAAAATCAGATACTATACAAAGCTGGACAAAGTTAGCACACAACAGTTTTCCATCATTATGTAATCAAACGTTCTTCATCACACTTCTCAATTCTCAGAACACTGTTGTAACAAAGTGGGGAAGTGTGTCAAATGCTAATTATAGAACTAGCTGGGGTGACGGTGGATAAGGGGAGGGAAGGGAGGGGGTATGCCCATTGTTTTTGGCCCGGACTCTGACAGCCGAGAGCCTATCACTCCTTGATATCTTCACCAGACGATTCCTCTTTTCGCCGGCGAGACTCATATGGGCCAGGTATGTTATTAATGGGGAGAAAGCGATGAATAGTCACCAAACAGAAACTATAGGTGGCTAAAAATTCAATACACAAGAAAGATTAGTGCCATGCTGACAATAAAATAAATGTTCTGATAGTAGTTAGAGAAAGGCTGGATAATAAGTACATGTATTGCTGGTAAAATATTTCATGTGTCTGTGCTGCCCAAGACTCAAGACAGTCCCATTCCTGATTTTGTAAGCAACATGGAGGCCAATTTGGCAATCAAGGGATCCTATATTCGCTCTTAGGGCAGTCAATGGATTTGTCCATAGGACTGACTTCATCGCTGTACTCGCCATGTTCGTTTGTCCTCGTATGAAGTTCCGCGACGTGACGGCTTGACGGGAGACGATTTAAAGTTACGAGCCGGTGCGATAAACAAAGGAGGAGGAATGAGGCTCTGTCGCGACAAAACAGCAGTGAATCCCACTTTTCTATTTGAACGCCTTCAAATCGGCAAGGTGCATTTTGAATGTTGATACATGTTTATTCGGATTTACTGAAAACTAAATGAAAATCATCATCAGCAATAGATCTCTTGTCAACAGTCTAGCTGACAAACCACCCCTGGTTCTACATTGTTCTCTGAACAAATTTTTATGCGACTTTCATCGAGTATGTTTAGCCCAAAAGTGCCTTATTTGCTCAAAGAGTTCGCTATTTCTACCACAGACTTATAGAGCTCTGTATCTATAAATTCTATTGACGTTATACAATTAAAGGCGCAGTTTGTTTTTGTTTGTTGACTTGATAAGTGGGTGGTTGGTGGTTGCTCTGGTGTGGTTTGCTCCTTCTTTCCTGTTAAAATCTACCATCCTTATCTCTCGTCCTCATTTTTTGTGTTTATTACTCTCCTTGTAGCACCTCTAACCTTTGGACTTTATATAACCTTAATGTGTTTGAAGTGCCGTAAAACTTTTACTAAATCTGAAGACCTGTAAATGTCTTCCCCTTATGAACCATCACTTTAATACCAACTTAAGTTATGGAGCTCATTAGCCTTAAGACAAGTAATTTTGCAAAAGCATCTGAAGAACCGGGTTTTCATTCCTAGTTGATGGCTAATGGATAAGATCAGTGTTTTTTAGGTTTTTTTTGTGGAGGGAGTGTTTTTTTAAATGTAAATGCCTTTGTTCCACGAATACGGATTGCATGAGAAAAAAGGGCGACTATGTGTTAGAAATAAAATTGCACATATGAACCTAAACATTTATTCCCCCTCCACACACACATGCATGTACGCACATGGGAATGTGAAAGAACAAAACATAGAAGAAGAAATGAAAATTGAGAGAAGAATGAGAAGTGGCCCTTGAGTAATGACATTGTTCGTATTTTTCAGTCTGTTGTTTGGGAACATGTACAGCTACTTTGTGTTTCAAGGAGCGACAGTGATCAGCAGCGAACAACGTACCAAGCTGTTCATTGCGCTCAGCGCTGCAGGTCTGCTAGGCTGTCTTTGTTTACTGCTGCTCAGGAAACGGAGAGTTGAGGTCACAGAGGAGAATGCACTCAGTCTGAATGCTAGGTATGTTGAACCATTTTTTTCTTCTTTTTTTTTTGCACTGACTGAGTTTGTAGCGTCTGTGGAACAATAGTTAGGCTCTACGCCGCTGCATGCTGAATACGTGAGTTTGATTCCCAAACTGGGAATTGTATATTATCAAATATATCTCAATTTTTCTGCTAATGTGCTCTATTTTACACCACATGGGTTGGGGTCAAAGCAGCCTACCTCCTTGGTAATTCAAATTGTGTCAGTGGGAACATGAAACATAAATACAGTCAATCTGATCAAAATTTTTTAACTACACTTTGTTAGGGGCTCTCGTGGCCTAGAGGTTAAGGTGTTGGCCTCTCATTCAAAGGTCCCAGGTTCGAATCCGGGTAGCGACTGAAACATTTTCTTCTCTAAAATTGTCTCCTTTCACCTCCTTTCCTGCTCTCCGGCAATATTCTGTCGTCTGCTTTCGTCTCCTCTTTCTGCCCCCACCCCCTCACCTCCTTTGCCCCCTCCTCTGGGCTCCTGACTCTTTCTGCAGCCTTTCTACTGCTACTCCTTGACTCCTTCTTACAGCTGTCTTTCTGCCACACCCCTGATCTTCTGGTAGGAAAGATCTACACCTAGCCTTCTCGGACAAGGGCGAAAAATCTCGGAGGGCCCATGTGCAAGTTGCGCCCGTTAAAGATCCTTTGGTGGCCTAAGATCGATAAGAGTAGGCTTCGGCCGCCACCCTTGAAAAATTCAAAATTTCCTACCAACTAAAAGTATTAGGTGTGTCCCGCGCGCTCATGTGACCGTATGCAGTTGCGAGCGCCGTAAAACCCTCTACTATAAAAAATAAATAAAAACACTGTTATTTTTGTAATGTATTTTTCTTTAACTTAAGGTGAATTTGTAAAGAAAAAGAATGTGTTGTTATCAATCCTTTACAAAAAAGAAGTAGTGAATATTGTTGGTTTTTTTTTCCTTTGCTTTGAATTTGCTTGAGTGAGAGTGATACTTTGATTTGATCATGAGGCAACAACAAAACCCACAAACAAGAGAAGCTTATGAATATGTATGTTTATCTCGGCAGTTCCACCCATGCCCCAGATATGCCCCTGACTGCCCTAAGTGAGTGCACAGTGTTTGTGATTGTATGTTGTTGTTAATATCTGTGTTTTTATGTGGAGCTGTGAATATCTTTTGTTATTTTTTGTTGGTGAAAATTATTTACATCTGTAGCCCCTTTCAACTCAATAATGGGTTGTCGTTTAATCTAAACACGTACAGCTTATTTCATTGGTTCGTGTTGTTTCCTTCCTCTGTCATCTTTTGGTCATTCTTCTTTGGCTGACAATATGATTGCTTTTGAATGTGAAGGGTTTTTAGTTTTTGTCTTCTTCCCCCATCCCTGGCTACTATAAGGCTTTTTCTTGTCATCACCTTCTTTTGACGACAAATTGTGTCTGTTTAGTTAAGACAGTAGATCCCATTTCTCTCCAGCTCTTCTTTTGTAATTCTTGTCTGTCATTTCTAATTTTTTAAAACTAATTGTGATCTGTCAATCTCAACAAAATTAATTGTATGCCTAAAGTATGGATGCATCCTATTTTTGGCTTGTTCCTCGCTTATATCCTCTGTCAGCTGAACTTTTTGTCACTGTTATTCTATTCATGACATTGAGTTTCATTTTCCCCTGTTGATGTGGGTGGTTAGAAGGAGCCACTTGAAAACTCTACTTTTTTTACTTTTCTCTCTTCTATCTTTCTGTAGGTTTTATCCAACAGTAAGTTGCTGTTATTGTGTGTTGACGTGTTTCCCTATACTCATTAGTCAAATTCAAATTCTTCAGTTGATGTGTTTGATCTCATAATCTACATGTCTGTCTTACACAGAAACTGACAATAAATCTCTCTCTATATCTTAACTAAGGCGATACATGCTCACTAACAATAGCACTTTGTGTTTTTTGCTACAGAGAGAGCCTTCCAGCTGCTCAAGACCAGAGAGATGCTCTTGCTGTGTTTCGCCTTTGCCTACACAGGTACACTCGCATATTTTCTGTGGTAAATTATGTGTGAGGTTTAAGTGTTAAGCTATTATTAATACAGTGAATTTTGTCTGTAGGGCAGTGACTATGAATTGGTCTCTGTCTCCAAGATATGTTCAAAAACAATCTGGAAGAAATTTTCAAGACCTGAATTAATTGCAATTGAACATAATGGCCTACCTATGAAGCTAGCAGAATCCGGAATTAAGAGTGGGAAAATTAAGTGCCAAGGACGTGTTACAGGGGAGCTTGTTAAAAATGTTAGCTGAAGTTGTGTGTCTTCCTGCTGGGCTATTATTATATACCACACAGCTCGAGTTGACCATGACAGGCAGGGTCCAATGCAGCCCCCCCCCCCCACCCCTATGATCCGAATTTTGTAAAGATGGGGTATAAAATATCTTATTCATTTAATTGTATAATATGTGCCTTTGAACTGTGGTAGAAATGAAAGGCATGTGTACAGTTGAATCTAAAGTGTGATTATTACTAGGCTGAAGGATAAATCAGGAGGGTTCTGTGTTTGTCACATCTTATCTCATTGCCTAGGGAGTCAGTATTCTTGTGAAGAGAATAAGTTGTTATAAGACAAATAAGAGATTTATGACTTGCATTTAAGTATTTCAATGTAAATTGTTTTGTTTGTTGTTGTTGTTGTTTTTTTGCTTTGACTTGTCAAGAGAGGTATTGAAAATCTTATTCTTCTACAACAGGACTTTGTGCTGTTGAGGCTATAGAGGTGAGCAGAGTAAGCCTGATTCCCCGTTTGGACTTCTCTGTTGACATCCACCCCTTGGTGCTCATATGACCTTATACAGTTGCGAGCGCAGTAAAACCTTACTAAAACAAACTATATTCTTTGTTTCTTAGGGTGATGAAAGTGTGATCTATTTTCCCTGCAATATACATCTCGTCAATATTCCTAGTTCTTGGGAGATGAATGGATGCCAAAAAGAAAAAGAGGCAGATCTTATATAATCTATTTCTATCTACTTCTGATATAGAGATACAGGAGGGGGCTCTCGTGGCCTAGAGGTTAAGGTGTTGGCCTCTCATTCAAAGGTCCTGGTTTCGAATCCGGGTTGCTACCGAAAAATTTTCTTCTCTAAAATTGTCTTCTTTCACCTCCTTTCCTGCTCTCTAGCAATGTTCTGTCATCTGCTTTCATCTCCTCTTTCTGCCCCCACCCCTTCACCTCATTTGCCCCCTCCTCTGAGATCTGACTCTTTATGCAGCCTTTCTACTGCTACTCCTTGGCTCCTTCTTACTGCTGTCTTTCAGCCGCACCCCTGATCTTCTGGTAGGAAAGATCTACACCTAGCCTTCTCGGATAAGGGTGTGCAAGTTGCGCGTTTTAAAGATCCCTTGGTCTAAAATCGCTAAGAGTAGGCTTCGGTGGCCACCGGGGCAAAATTCTAAATTTCCTACCATTTGAAAATGTTTGGTGTGTCCCGCACGCTTATATGACCTTATGCAGTTGCGAGCGCCGTAAAACATTTACCAAAAAAAAAAAAAGAGATGCAGGGAAATAGTTCAAAGTTGAATTTCTCATTTTGTCTGTCCTCCAGGTCTTGAACTGACATTCTTCAGTGGTGTCTATGGCGCCAGCATTTCTCACACCGAAAGTTTTGGCAACAGTGCTAACGGATTGCTGGGGATCTCCGGTATATTCATTGGTGTGGGTGAAATTCTAGGTAAGAGTTTGAGCTGCAAGTTGTGAGCTATTTATAGCCTTTGATTTATTGTATGGTTGTGTCTCCTTTCTTGATCTCTCTCCATATACATACCCTTCACTGTATTTTTTTCAATTATCAGCTTTCTTCGTGGAAGATAGGCCCTTGTTTCTTATACTCTTTATCCTAAATAAAATGAAAAAATGTTTTACTTGTTCCAGACAGAGAATGCTGGCCTGGAGTATGTGTGTTGCACTGTACTGAAAGGGAAGAAAGGGGGTATCCCTGTAACTTGGTTCAACTTCTATGGAACTTGTCATAAATTTGTAAATGACATTGGGACCCCAGTTAGGAATGTATGGCAATAGAGACAGTGTGTGGCCAGTTTGTCCGTAGTTATTTAGTTTTTAGATTTTGCATTCAAAAGAAGATTACGTTTTTTTATTATCAAAATGTCTCTGCCTCTTATTGTTCTTGTGTGCAGGTGAGAATGAAGAAAAGGAAATGGGTGAACAAATCTTTTCTGGAAGCTGGGCCATGTTTACTGACTTATAAAATAATAAAATATAAGGAGTGCTTATTTAGGCCACATATGGCCTAAATAAGGTAAGGGAGGGCGGTTTAGCTTATTTAGGCCACACATGCTCAAACTACCCTTTTCAGGCAACTGAGTTCGTTCCACTTTCATTGTGCACTTTTCTCATTTAGTACAGATTTGTTTCAGTGTACTACTTATAAATCATAATCATAATGAATATTGTAAGAACAAAGCACAATACGCAAAATTCTGCTCAATCCCAATGGTATGAATGAGGGTCAGATTTTTCCTTCATGGAGGGGCAAAAGCTAGGCTACCATTTTGGCACACTTTGGTCAAGTGAAAAGGTCAAATCCTCCAAATGGATTTCTGGGTCAAATTTGGGGTATAAAAAGTGTGTACACAATGTGGCTGAGTCAAAGTTACACTATCTTTGCCTGAGTGGCACTCTTTCGTACTGTCTCGTAGTACAGGTAGTAGTAGTAGTAGCAAAGGTCGTGTAGAGAATCTTTGGTAGTAAATTCTATCTAGTAGGCAGTTTAATGAACGTGCACGCGGCTGGGCGAATCGGCCTCGATAAGCCCCGTAGACTTTTGTGATTGGCCACGAAACCTCGTGTTTTGATGGGTCTAAACAACTCATCCGACAGGCCTACATCTTTTTAAAAGGAAAAGAAAGATCATCAAAATGGTTGAATTCACGTGAAAATCGATTCGGTAGAACTGGAACTATTAAAATTTGCTTATGAAAACAAGGCAATTTTTATAACTTGATGAAATAAAAACTACTGGCTGTGTTATTCTGTATAAATTATGAAACTTCAGGACGTATTATTATTTTCCAACCCAACATCTTTTGACACCTGAGCTGTAGAGGTTGAAGTTTTCACAACACTAATAGATCTAGTAGTAGGGCTTTCCGTAAAAAATGCATACATCTACAAAAGCCAAACTACCGAATCGACCGGTCAGCGACCCGGGCACCCCGCTCTCCCCTGCACACTGTGATAACGTGTTGCTTCGATATCGCATTATTCAACTATTAATACGTGCGGCTATGGCAATTGGGATGTACATGTACTGACTGACAAAACAATTCAGTTTTGTTTTTATTTTACCATATACTTTAATAGTGCAGGTGATAGCTAGATCTAGATTCCCTGTCTAGAATCAGTAGTAGCAGGCCTATGCTAGAACTAGAAGCAGCCAGAGAGCCTACAACTGCTATATCTAGATCTAACTCATTGCTATGCATTTGGTCTTTGGAACTGAAACAAAACTAATTGCACAGTTCTAGTTAATTTTAGATTCAGCAACTAACTGTATTTCCAGAGTTAATACATGTAATAACAAATCTCACCATAACAACCACTTTTACTTTTATTAGAATAATTAGATCCATTTTTTTTTCTTCTAAAATCTGTTTTGCGCAAACTTAAGATTTTCTCTACTTGTAGAGCACAGAATTTACATTGTAAGCCTCTGCTCAGTCTTTTAGTATACATAATAAAATACATATGATACATACATCTATATAATCTATCTATATGATCTATATAATCATTTTATGTTATTATCTGGATATTTTTAAAACTCTTTTTTTTTAACATGACATAAAATCAAATTGTGCCATTTTCTTTGAGAATAGCATTAGCTGTGGACGTTTTAGACAGCATGTATGCTAATCGGTGAAAATTGCAAATTGATAATAGTATAGTCCTGTAGAGGATAGGTGGACTCCGGGGTCTGCATAGTGAAATACTAGGTTTTAGGATGTGAACCCCAGAGTCACCGTAGTGAAATAAGGTTCGGTTTAAGTAAGGATTGGTGGACCCCAGGGTCAAGGTAGTGATAAATAAGCAGGTTTAAGGTGGACCCTGGGGCCCGGGGTCTAACTAGCGAAATACTAGGTTTTAGGACTGGTGGACCCCGGAGTCACCGTAGTGAAATAAGTAGGTTTCTTTAAAGATTGGTGGACCCCGGGGTCACCGTAGTGAAATAAGTAGGTTTAATTTTAAAAGGACTGGTGGACCGTAGTCACCATAGCCGTAGAGGAATAAGAAGGTTTAATTAAAGATTGGTGGACCCCCGGGACACCTTGATTAAACCTATTTATTTTACTACGGTGACCGCAGGGTCCACCTATTCTAAAACCTAACTAGAATTGAGTATTTCGTTAGGTAGACCCTAGGGTCCACCTTAAACCTACCTATTTCACTACGTTGACTCCAGGGTCCTCCAATCCTTAAAATTAAACCTAGATCTACATGACAATGTATTTATTTCACTACGTTGACCCTAGGGTCCACCAGTCCTTAATTAAACCTAGATCTACTGATTTCACTACGTTGACCTCGGGGTCCACCAATCCTTCATTAAAACTAGATCTACTTATAATTTCATTACGTTGACCACGGGCTCCGCCAGTCCTACTATAAAATAAACTGAGATCTACTTATTTCACTATGTTGACCCCAGGGTCCACCGATGCTTAGTTAAACCTAGATCTACTTACAGTGGAGTCCACTTGTAACGAGTCCGGAAAAAGCGAGAAGTCTGTTATAAAGACACTACCGGTATTCGAAAACCCTGTTTTTTTCTTCTCTTCTTTACCTTTGTAAATAAAATACTGCTATAGCGCTATCAGACAAACCTGCGAGTCGGTTATAGCGAAATATTGCTGCTGCTATGCACAGTGCATAGGCCAGTTATACATTATGTAAAATGTCGCAGGTTGAGAAACTTGTTGGTGATCTAGCGAAACAAAGAATAGGAGAGCCCACGTGTGTCAACAATGAAGGCCGGAGCGACTGAGTAGGGAGGGTGTGGCTTGCGCAGACAAGCAGAACACATCGGGTGATAGGCCAGCGTAAGCTTAGATTATCGAGGCTTACCATGCCTCTCACTTCTCCTATGCGGGGATGGAGAGGTCACAGCAATGTGACGGATGGAGCGATTGTGTGATGTGCGCAAGCAGACAGAATGTACCACAGGGTGTGGTGCGATGGGGGAAAACACGGCGGGGGAGTTAGCCCAGAGCCCTTTCTTTCTGATCGCCAACACTGAGCTGCCAGTCAACATTGCTAGCGCTAGAGAAAGAAAACTGGTTCGATTTTTGATCAAGTAAGACCTAGAGGTCATGTTGAAACAAAATCATCACCAGGGGAGATAGTAAAAGGAAATAAACAGAATATGTTCTAACTCATAGATTAGGCCTACTTTACGGTTTCCCTCGAAATTATTACTGGATCCTTTATACCAAGAATCCTGCTATAACAGACATTTTGCACCGGTCCCCTCTCTCTCGTTATAACAGGATTTCATTGTATTTCATTACGCTGATTCCGGGGTTCACATCCTAAAACCTAGCATTTTGTTAGGTAGACCCCGAGGTCCACCTATCCTTTTGGCTAGATAGACCCCGTGGTCTGCCTATCCACTTCCTTGATAATAACTGAAAACAATACATGCCAGTTGTCATAAATAGTGAAGAAAAATGTGAAAAAAAAGATAATGAGGTAGACTATAATTTGTCAAAAAAATTGCAAATGCAAGTGTAGATCATAAGATACTTTTGTTATTTTCTGGTAATCTTTTCACGGTTTTTAATTAAAAATGTTCCAGTGGGCCTACTACTAGATCTATGTCTCTGAAGAACATTTTGCTTGACTGTATTAGCTTTTATCATGTACTTGAAAGCATAGAATATATAGTTTCACCCAAATGCACGCACAATACTTTGAAAAAGAAAGATACGGTCATTGTTTTGTTTTGTTTTGCGGAATCCGTTTTACTTTGAGAAAAGCGCTAAAAACAAGTTAAAAAATTTAAGAAAGCCCATAATATTAGGAATCCAAAATGACTACCTTGACCTAGTTGGCTTACTCTTTAATAACCATGAGCAGTTAAGAAAAAAAAAAGAAAAAGATATAGGATTTGTCTAAATATGACCATTAGCAATAAAGATATTGCCCATTTTTTCCAATTATCCTTGCAGGTAAAATCACCCTGTACTGTACCTCAATAAGCACAAAAAGAATATTTCTGTGACTTTGTGTAAAGGTGTTTTGTAGTTGAGTTCTATGTAAAATTCTGAACAAAATAATGTACATTTGGACCGTACAACTGAGATAGACACTCATGCACACAATAACATTCACACATTACACACACTCTCACATACAAACACACTATTACATTTACTCTCTCTCTCGCTCTAGATCTCTCTCTCTCACCATAACTACTCACAAAACAAACACATACACACACACTCACACACACACACACACACATGCACACACACACACAGACAGACACACAACTCTTACCCTTGGTCCACTTTTCATTTAATATCATCCTCTATTTTGAAATAATCCCCCGCACTAAATAAAAAGATAAGTAGAATCTCGACCTTCCGAATCCATGGTTAGTTCAAGAAATCTACCATGATGTGGCCTAAATAAGGTAAGGGAGGGGCGTTTAGCTTATTTGGGTCATATGTGGCCTAAATAAGGTAAGTAAGGGGGGTTTGGCTTATTTAGGCCACAGTGGCTTAAATAAGGTAAGGGAGGGGGGTTTAGCTTATTTAGGCCACATGTGGCCTAAATAAGGTCACCCTAAAATATAATAACGAAGCCCAATTTATCTGTTATAGCCATAGAATAACAGTTAATTGAGACTGGGGTTTGTCCAGCATTTGGCCTAACACGATGACCTAAACTAAAAATAAAATGGGCTCAATGTTAATGGAGGCATGAGACACCTGTTTTAAAAAATAAGGGTAGGTTCCTTGTTTTAGTCTTGTTGGCTTCGTCTTTTCCCCTCTGGTGAACCAAACACCCTAATAAGAAACTCAAGTTGTCTCTGTGTTTATTGTGCCCTGGCTTATATTAAAAATCTGTTACTGATTATGCCTGTAACTTAAATCTAAATATTGTTTACAATTGTTCATTTATATTATATGTGTGTAAGTGTGACTGTGGGTCTGTGAGTGTAAGCATATATATTATAATGTGTGTGTGTGTGTGTATGTGCGTGCATGCTTGCATTATATGTGTGTGCATGGGGGAGACACTAAATCAGTGTGCCAGTGTTTGGACCATAAAGATTAATCTTATCTTTTCTTATCCAGGTGGTGCTCTCTTTGGCTTGGCAGGCAAGAGGACAAATGTTTATGGCCGAGACCCTATTATAATGCTGGGTTACGTGGCCCACATGACAGCGTTCTACCTCATTTTCCTGAATCTGCCAGATAATTCGCCTATTGAGGATAGCTTGCATTCCACTTACATCACACCCAAGTGAGTTTTACAATGGAAACCAAAATGGCTCTGACCGGTTTTCGTTAAGATGTTCTTGGAGTTAACTCGCCATAACCATATGGTCATAGACTTCAGTGTCTATTTAGCTGGGGAAGCAATAAAGAAAAGACAAATCAGTTTCTGGGTCAGTTAGTTAAATAAACACAAAGGTCTTTAACATCTTGTTCTCCCCTATAAAATGGCATGTAAAAGATGAAGAGGTAGACCAACAACAATTTACAAAAAGAACTTGAACAGATCGGTGACAGGAAAAGACCAATTTAATACTGGTCTTTAAAGAGCATTTGAGCCGAAAAATGAGTGTCGAATCATGATTGCTGATCTCTGTTTCAGATTTGGCACTTGATGATTGTGTTGATGAGGATGATTTAGTTTCACAAAAAAAACTGCAGTTTGGATGTTCTCTGAAATAGTTAAAATGAATGTTTGTTTCCATTAACATGGTAAAGTCAAATACAGGGAATCCCTCCTCTTAATAAGTGCTGTGCATATGCCTCCCTTCACTTCTCTTTTTACAATTTATACAGATCTTTGTCCTCATTGCTGCTTAGATTATACAACACAACACTTCTTTTCTTTTCATAAGTATTGTCTTTTATACAATACTTGGAGCTGTTTTAGCATTGCACTTCCTGTAAAATATATCCTTATATTTACGTGAAATATAGGCTGGCTAAGCTGAAATATAAAAATTTGCATAAATTACTCCTCGCACTAGATCTATATTCGCCTTCTACTTCTATCCCTCTGTGTAGGCTAAGCAAAGTAGCCTAGATCTAGATCTAGATCTAGATCTAGATCAGTAAACTCTCTGTCTAGATCTAGAGTCTAGTAAAAACTTAAAAACTTCGCTGCAAAGCGCGCTCACCATGGGCAACCAAACACTTCTTCCAGTCTTGCTGTCCCTTATAGGCCTAGTCGAGTAGGCCCCTATAGGTGCAAATCTTTCTACGTTGCTCTTAATTTTGTTTCAAATAGAGTCAAATGATGGGCACAGTAATGAACCGGGATTACGCCAGAGTATGGTGCTGTTACGTTCGGTTCATTGCTCGAATAAAATAATCAAAGGGTGGACAGTAGATCTAAATACATTTTAATTAGATCTATCAAACAAAATGATTGATCTACAACACAACTAAATAAATAGCACCACTTCCACTTTGGCACTTAGAATCTAGGTCAGTGTCACCCTAGGTCTAGAGGCCTATAGAATCTATCAGCTTGAATAAATGAAATGATCATGAAAGATTTAGAGAGGCTTGAAATTTTGTAGTCACTTTATCAAACAGTAAAAAAGCCACTGTTTAGATCACTTGCGTTGCCTTTTGAATTTTCGTTTACATTAATTCTATCACTACATACTAAATGATCAACTATATTATAAATGAAAGAAGATTAAACTTTAAAACAATATGTAATTGATAAATACGATATTAGTCAATATACGAGTATAACACTCTTGGATAAATACTTTTTTTTGGAAATAATAAAAGTTACTTCCCTTGTTATTCTGATATTCTTACCCCCCCTTAAGAAATCCAGAATATCGGAAATTGGTAGACAAAAACTAGACATCTACTAGCTACATATTTAGAATTAGCACATGAATATCCAAGTAGCTTGACAACTTGTGTTGTTAAAAAAGCCCATTTTCTCATCTTTGACCAATTTAAAGCAATGCATTAGATCTAGAATCTAGATCTAGTGCATTAGATCTAGAATTTAGATCTAGAGTCTAGATCTAGATCTAGATCATAGAATCTAGTCTAACTCTTTGCTTTTGGTTTGTTTTGGTTACGAAGTTTGAAATCAAAATCAAAGTCATCTCTATTTTAACAAAAACATGCTAGATTTATATTAATGCAGTTTCTTTCAACTTTTGAATCGTACACTTTCTGATTATTTTGCTTATATTTACGTTATGATAGTTTTGTTTGGGGTTTGTTTCGCGGAGGGAGACATTCGGATAGCACAACTTGTAAATTAGCGTGGCTGAAAGTAAAGGAAAACAATCCAGATTTTCCCCAATTCTCAATCTGACTTCGACGGGCATGAAAATGTTTTCATGTGAGACTCTAGAATGGACCCTCTTGTCCAATTGACGGGCCCTTTGAACTTTGTTGGTACGGACGTATTTCGCCAGCTGATGTCAGTATGGTATAAAAAATTTATTACACTCGTTGTGGTGTTAGACCATGATTTATCCTGCTTGTGAAATTGCAAGTTGTAATCACTCGTTGAAACTCGTGATTACAACTTGGCAATTTCACTCGTAGGATAAATCATGATCTTACACCACAACTCATGTAATAAATTATTTTTATTTACCATACTTTTTTTCATTCCCAAGAAAGAATTATCATGAGGCTTCTTTTTAGAAACAAATGCTGGGCCAGACTCTATCTCCGATCTTTTGTAAGTAGTTAGTTCAAAAAAATATCCAGGTTGTTGAGTTACATTTTTAAAAAAATGACACATTGTAATCGAAATGGCCGTCTTTCAGCCTAAGTTTATTCAGTTTTGAAAATCACCTGAAAATGTGTTAAATTTATTAGCAGGACAAACTTCATATTGAAGCAAGTCGCATGACTTTGGTTTTAGCCATAAAACATGGTCTCAGGTATTTAGATAGTGAGCTAAAAACTGTAACATTTAACTCTAGTTCATAGTTCAGTTCCCTTTCACTGAAAAGCTTGAATTAATTTCTTTGCAGCAAATATGTGGCAATTCTGTGCAGCTTTTTACTTGGATTTGGAGACAGCAGTTTCAATACTCAGGTGAGTGATTTAGCTTGTTACTGTAGTTCAAACACTAAGGTGGTCAGTGTAATGTGAAGATGGCGCTCATACGACCTTAGGCAGTTGCGAGTGCTGTAAAAACTCAACTAAAACTAAACTAAAACATAAGGTGAAGCTCATTCTCAGTCATACAAGAGCCCCACCCCCTCCTACACACACCCACGTCCACACGTTCACACATACCTCTGTGGCATGCACATACATACGTGGGCAAACATATTTTTGGGCATGAAAGGATCCCAAGACAAATGCTGCATTTTGCTTATGTTGCACAGGTTCATACATTATATGGAAATTATTTTTTTTTTATTAAACAGTATTATGAAAACTTGAAAAAGAGAATTGTTCTCCTTCTATAACAAACTTTTACAAAAACAACTTATAAACTAACAAGGCTGTGGGGTTTATTCAATTGAATTTCAATGATAAATACAGTTAACATTGTAAGGAGTTGCACAATTGATAGGTTGAAGGTTAACAATGTGAAGAAAGTGAAAGTCGGTCTTCTTCTTTAAGATTCTTCAAAAAGGACTTATAAAATAAATGACTTTGAGGTTTATTGAATTATAATTCAATGATAAATACATACAGTTAATGTTGTAAACAGCAGTACACCTGGTATGTTGAAAGTTAACAATATGAAGAGGCAATAGATCTTTCATGATAACAATTATCAATGTAAAGAGTTTTACACCTGACATGTTTGACAAGGAATGATGTAAGGAGCTATTTAAAAAGATGTTCATTTTTTTTTTTTTTGGAGCTGCAAGAACAGAACATGAGTGTGATAGTATCTGCTCTTGGTCATCCACAGATTTACTCACTGGTGGGCTTCATGTTCCAAGAGGACAGCTCCCCGGCCTTTGCTTTGTTCAAATTTGTTCAGGTAATTTTGCATTTGTTTTCAGTTCTGACGTCTCTTCAGCATGTGTCTTCTCCATATACAGTTGGGCAGGAATAACTCCAAACACATCACGGATTGACAAATGATTTTGACTCATCCATAATTCAAGTTAACCGATAACGGAAGAGACTGAAAAGTAAAGAGATATCTGTCGGGGATGGCAAATTGTATGAGCTATCCACAATTTCGAGTTTTAACAGTTTGATAGTCTTTTTTTTTTTAGCTGGAGGGTGCCACTGGTAGGTGCTTCTTTTCTTTTCCTCTGTTTTTTCAGTCTTTCAATGTGTCTTGCTTTTTCCCAAACAATAAATGACAGTTATTGTGTTGGTGTGGTTTTCTTTTCTCATACTCAAACATCCCACTGCTAATTAATATTTACTCTTCCTGCTCAGTCGGGAAGCTGTGTAAAAATTGCTGCCTTTAAACAAGATTATAGGTGAGTGGTTGGTGGGTGCTCTGGTGTGGTTTGCTCCTTCTTTCCTATCAAACATTTATCGTCCTTATCTCCCCTCCTTCTATTCTGTGTTTGTTACTCTCTTGTAACACCTCTAATCTTCGGCACTTATATGACCTTATTGTGTTGCAAGTGCAGTAAAACTCTTTCTAATTCTAAAATGTAAAAAGCCCCAAGATTATATAGTTCTGGTTAATTTGCTAATGTGTGTGTGTGTGTGTGTGTGTGTGTGTGTGTGTGTGTGTGTGTGTGTGTGTGAGAGAGAGAGAGAGAGAGAGAGAGAGAGAGAGAGAGAGAGAGAGAGAGAGGGAGGGAGGGAGGGAGGGAGGGAGGGAGGGAGGGAGGGACGGACGGAGGGAGGGAGGGAGAGCTTAGGTAACTTGTGGTTGACATTCTTTACTCTCTCTCTCTCTGCTGTGGTTTCTGTCTGTAGTTTATAGATTATTTTCCTGCTTTGTTTTCCCCAGTCTGTGGCTGCTGCTGGTGCCTTCTACTACAGCAACGTGCTCCTACTGCAGTGGCAGCTGCTCATCCTGGTGCTGATGGGGTCAGTGGGTGCATTGAGCTTCTGCTGCGTCGAATGGATGAGCACACGGGCCAGTCGCTCCGGCTACCAGACCATCGGACTAGACGACCAATAGGTATCAAGCTGTCTGTTTGTTAGCTTTACTTTTTGTCCATTCACAAATACTATGCAAACATTTGTGTTCATGCATGGTGAAAGGTACCACAAGACGCATTTGCTCGAACCGAGATATCAGGCTTCAAAGGTCAAAATCAAAAACTAAGTTCCATAAAAAATGGATTCTTTAACCATTAATATATCGATATTTACAAGGACTTGAGATTTTTGTACTTTAAAATAAATTTTTAAAGATGTTTTTTAACACGACTTATATTGCATAATCCCTAATAATGCAGACCTGCCACTCATCCCGATTTAGTCGGGATATCCCGATTTTTTGCTTCAAATCTCAAGCATCCTGATTTTCCCGATTTCGATCACGTGTATCCCGATTTTTTGTCCCAGTCTGCTGTTGTGTCGGGTTTTTATTAAAACGTACTCTGCCTTCTCCTTTATCGCGGGAAGCACCCGTTTAACTTTTTGTCAGTAGGAACTCGGAGCAATATTTCCCGAAATATCGATGCCGCAATTAGTATTTGACTCAAGGTGTGTGTGATCTTTGCCCGCACTCAGAATTCTCCGATGATAGCCTGGTAACTGTTACAATTTGGGACTTACAAATAATCGATAATATTCGTAGTTCCGCTGCTACTTTCAAAACAAGCCTTGTCCGAGGTCTGGTAACTGTGCGTTCACACCAAACACTCGGACGAGCAACAGTCTTTCTAACCCTTACACAACTACATGTAACTGCGCTGACAAGACAAACATACGGCCGATGTCCTTGCTTTAGTCTGAACGCATTATGAGGGATAAGAGATTTGTTGGTACAATTGGTCGGTCGGCCGCCGTTGTTATCCAAGAGTACTAGAAGTGGAACGACTCGCTCATCTGAGAGTTTTATGTGAACGCGCAGTTAGTCGGACCCGTTAATAAAATTGTTTCAATCGCGCATTCGCGTCACGTGACATGGCATCGCCGTGTGAGTTCTGCGTGTCGGGGACCGTCCGTTGTCGGGGTCAACTTAAGTTCATGTATTTCGGGACTTATTGGTTGGGGTGGGGAGGGGGGTATAGACACTTGGACAAGGAGTGCTTGACGTGATGCTTCAGGATTTACAAAAAATAATGATAACTCGCACGCACGCGCGCGCGCACGCAAACAAACAAAGACACTCAGGGGGCATAAAGGCCAAGTAATTTATGGACACCCCTGGAAAAATTCTAAGTCAGCTTTGGCAGTCACCTTGGTGATTTGCTGTTGATCCCGATTTTTTTCACCAAATCCCGATTTTTTCTCCCTGAGATCCTGATTTTGAGGTTTCATAGAGTGGCAGGTCTGAAAATGCGTGAGAAAATTGGTTTTCCCAGTACACACTACGGATGGTTTCTCTTGTCCATTCATAAAGTCAACCCAATCACATTGCATACCAAAATTTAGGTAATTCTCTCCCCTCTCTAATGGCAGGTCTGAGGTAGTGCGCATGAATTGAATGTCTAGAACCTGTAAACAATGTGAGGCTTTGCGCATCCGTACCCTTTCGCCTTTTTGGAGAGCAAACTTGTATAGCATTTTTCTGCCCTGCGCAAATCTAGATCTATTTCTTAAAAACTCTTGCTCAAGGTGGTGCTGAATTTGTTTTGAAGACGTAATATAAACACTTTGAAGCTGTTCTTTTATCTTAAATGCTTTTTAAAGTTGGTTTGTGAGTAGCGAATGTGTTGTCAGGTAGTCTCGAAGCGTAGATCTATCTATTTGAAGCAGAAACAAAGGGGAAACTTTAAAATCCGTTTTTCTCAAAACTTTGTTTCCGTACCCTGCCTTACAAAACCACCCATATCTCGAAAACTACTGAAGGTATCTTTAAAATTCAAAAAGCGTATTGTTCAGAAATGATCTCTGTACATGAAAATGCAAAAAAATCCCGGGATTCTTCAAAATGCGTCATGTGGTCCCTTTCACTAGACACGCTCTCATTTTATGAGAATGTCTGCTGACTTATGGGTGAAATCATGGATGGGTGTTTTTGGTCCACTTAACCCAATGAAAAGGTGAAATCTTTGCCCGGTCCCAAGCTGTTCGCCTGTTGTTTTACTTTTTTGTAATCTTTTGCATTCCCCTTGGAGGCTCTCTCGACTTCCTTTAAAAAAGCCGGTTTATTTCAGCCTATCTTTTCATGTCTCTGCCTTTTGCAAATTACCATTTTTATCTAGGTAAACAGAGGAAAAAAGGATCAAGTACCTTCCCTAAGAAATAATATGTACTATTATGCAGTGTTGTTCCCCTTGGAACCTGTTTGTCGGGAGAAAAAAACCCAACTGGTTATTCATCTCCTTTCTCTTGTGACCTCATTTATTTCTTTATTAACTGTATTATGAAATATTCACATTTTCTGTTTATTTCAGATAAATGAGGATGACCAAATACCTGGTGCCCCTGACAATTCCGGGGAATGATGAGATACAAGTCGTCCGAGCTAGATGGAAGGCATGGAGCATGGTGTGGGTGTAATACTCTTGTGAATCCCCCTGATCAAGTCTTCCTTCGAATAAATCATAGGAACACAATGCGCACACGCATGCACACATACACACACCATTACTCGTCTGCATATATACACAAAGTCCTAGGTATATGAACAAAACTTTCATTATTCACACTGACGACTAAAAACGATCATATCTGAGTATGTTAACCGTCCTGCCCAACTGTGTTTCAAGTAGGCCAACTGGTTTTTTTTTTTAAAAACGTCTCTTCGTTCGTTTTTTAAAAACATGTTTCAGTGTGCACAGAATAGGTGCTTACTTACTGAGTCTTTGGTTGTTTTTTTTTTTTTTTTTTGCTGTGATGAGAAATGCTAGAGAAATTTTTATTCAAATCATAATTTTAGCGTTATCCTCCTGCCTCTTTACTGTTACCCTATTGGGTTATTTTTGCCTCTCTGCTGCTGGCAATTTTGTGCAAGATAGCAATATCTGTGTGGTTGCCTGAAAAAACTATGGAGAAGGCACACAGCGTTGAACCAAATACTGCCCTAAAATGATTAAAATGCTGAATTAAAAGAAAATTTGAAACTTTCTTATCTTTTTTTTTCTTTCAATTATTTTTCTGTCTGAAAATTATAATAATGATGCTTAAATTACCCCAAAAAATGTGTAGGTGGCTTTTTTCTGTGGAACCCTTCTAAATCCATGACTTGTGAAATCAGGGAAATTACACAGTTGAGTCTAATTAAACTGATATCTCCAGGTCTATCAGATTTTCATGGGTTCAGCAGAGTTTTTTGTTTAGCGAGGTTGCACAAATAGAAGTTTAAGACAAAATAATCAGGGATTTTCTTTTCTTTTGGATTACTGCTATTTTCGGATTAACTGTTCGATTTAAGCAGACTCCAGTGCAAATATTCTCGTCCAGAACAGTTATTGGTTGTCTTTCACAAGCTCTGATTGTTTCCCATTGGCAAGTGTTAGTTTATAATGGGAAAAAAATGACAATGCACCTGGTTTTCCCCTAGGCCACAACACACATAATGTGTTGATTCATTTCATCTGATAGTACTGGAAAGCTCTTGATACACTTCTTGGAAGCAAAAGTGGGAACCCTAATTGAAGACAAAGTAGAATGAAAACATAGCTATAAATGTCAACCAATTATATGATGGTTATTAGTTATACAATTCATAATGATGCAAGTTCTGCTTTCTTTTGTTCTAGTTATATAGTATTTTAGGCATAAATAAATTAAAAAAACAACCCATGATATCATGCTTATACTTTGAGGGATAGGCCAATATGTTGTTTTAGTCAATTTGTGGTTATATAACTGAATAGCAAGATGTAGTTGGGACATACTGTTTTTTATGAGAACTAAATAGTGCTTTTACAGGTTTTGTTCACAGATATTTAGTTTCATAAGCTTTGCCATTGTTGTTGATTTTGATTCTGATCCCTTGATGTGGGAAAATGATTTGAATCAATGTTGTCTTATGTCTTAATTGGAGCTAGTGTGATATATATTATATATCTTTATTATATACATACTGGACAGAACGTCAAAAGACTCAACACCAATGTTTTCTTATAGACATTGACTTATCAACATTCTTAAGACGTTTTTGCGTGCAATTTGTACAGATTGTGTGTGAACATGTTAATCAAGATATTAATGATGGTTCAGTGATGAGCATACGTGAAATGAGAAAATGTTCAGAAGAATGCTACCATGCTCTGAATTTTCTTTGCCACAACTGAACTCCTTTGTAAAGTCTAGGCTGGCTAGGAAATTTTGTCAAGTGATCAATGGTTTTATTTTTATAAAGAACTTGTGAGGCTTTTAAAGTTTCCTTGCAGGAAATTACAAGTAGTTTTTTTAAAAGTGTGAACATACATTTAACATTTAGAACAAAAAGTACAAGCCTGTCTTTCAATTTCCGGTCCGGATGTATAATGCTTGGAAGGTTGAGGTTTTGAGATTGGTGAGTGTAAATGTGCATGTCATAGTCAGCAATGACACGGATGTACACAAAATGTGCAGCATTCTGTAGAATGCTTAAGCATTAGATGTTATTTTTAGATTTTTGTCAATAGTGTTCTTATCCTTCACTTATGCACAAGACTGTTTTTTCTTCACAATTCTCAGCATATTTGTATATATGACTGATTTATTTCTGTGTAACTTTTTGCCCACACTCCTAGTCAGTTGTGAGTCGAGACAAAGGGTTTGTATAATCTCAGCTAGTGGACATTAAGCTCAAGCTCACTGTGACCGACGTAGACAACAGCATGTTACAGTTCCTTCTGAACCTGTAGCAAGGAGAAGTAAGAAGTTGCTACAGACCAAAATAAAAGATGTTTTTTCTTCTTCTCTAGTCTCAGGCAAAAAACATTTTCCTTGATGTGTGACAAAGGGTACCACTTTCTTTCTCAAGATGACAAAGTATATGGTATATATATCTCCTTCCTTTTTATATCATTTTTTAAAACCAGTTATACATTCCTATATCTATTCTGATTTTGCATATGTGATTAAATATACAGTTTGTTTCTGTGTAGGTTGAGTTCGATATTGCTTCTCTGTTTGACAAAATGTTGCTTTTTTTAAACCAAAGATTGAAAGGATTGGGCTGAAATATTTTTTTTTCTGGGTTCTTTTGGAATTTGGGTTTGGGTCTCCAGCTTTAAAAAGTCGTGAATGTTGCTTGCCAAAGATCACCACAAGGGAAAAGGTTTGAACTACAATTGGGTGTCACTTGAACTCTATGATCAACAGCATACAGTTTATGACTTTTAAATGAGAAGTTCTGTTTGAGCTGTGGCATATCTTTCTCGTAATCAATCCCTCCTCTCCACCTCCCTTATTGTTTTCTTACACAAAATTTAAAAAAATGCATTTTCACCATGTGACTGTTATATATATGAGTCATTCTCTTTCCATCAAATTATTTGCTTTTCTAATTGAAATGCAATCAGTACTGAATTGTTTTTCCTCCTTTTTTTTCGTTTGAGAAGATTATTAGGTTTGACACTTGTATAGAAAAGTTGATCATTCTTTAGTCATCAACTGGTGGTAATACCCTTATCATGGTATACTGTACAGTTCACTTATGAGTTAGCATAATTTTTTCCCCAACTAAAATGAAGTGCAAGCAAGCATCATTCATGTTTATACGCACATAATCTTAATTCTAAATGCCTGGTACTAAAAAGGATAATATGTCATTGTGATGATGTACAAGGCTAGGCTCTTATCCACATTTTTAACCAATTGATTTAAAATACAAGTTAGAATTAGAATGTTTGCTAGTAGAAGGTAATTGCACTTTATTACATTTATTTTGGGCATCCTTTGAGGGTCCCTTTAGTTTTAATTTTTTTGACAGGGCCCTGTTAAAGTTTATTTCGTGAAGTTGTGGACTTTGGTCAATTTTCTCTCAAATATAAAGTCTTTGATAGTCTGTTAATTTGAACAGCCCGGTTTCGTAATCATTTTCAAGTGGTGTTGTTTGACATGGGTAGAAGAGAAAGGCCTCTGGAATTACTTTAACTTAAACTTTCAAACTGTCCGTTTTTATGGTTATATGACTTTATTAATGCAATCTGCAGAGGGTTTAAAAAAATAAATTTTCTAAGTGAAAATACAGAGATACACTTTTCAATCGAAAATTTATCAAAGTTTAAAAACTCCTTTGAAACTCTTATACTTGGGATACATTTATCACACTTGTAACCGATGACATACATATAGCAAATAGTGTAAAACGCGTCGAGCTTGCTCTTGAGTGGGGGTATGCGCTATACAAATGCTATTTATTATTGACATGAACAAACTTTCTTGATGAAAATGCAGGGCTAACATGTGTCATATTTTAAAACACTTAGGATTTTCTGAATTGGGGAGGAAAACACTCAACTGGTAAGGCTGTTCATGATGATACTCTTGTCTTAACCCCCCTCTACTGACTGAATGGAGGCGTATGGTATTAAAATAAGAATTAAGATTTTTTTCTTTGTACTGGCTTTCCTTTTAATAACCTTTTTGGTCATTTCTATATTGAAAAAGCATCATCTTATTCAAATTTTTCTTCTGAATGATTTGCTGTGGATGAAGGAAATGAGGAACTCCAGTCATGCTCCTATTTTGAGAATGGCTCATACATATTATATTATTATATACACAGACTCACATAAGCGCATTTGTATAATTTGGCCATAAGAGATATATATCTATATATAATATAATATTACATGTATATATTATATGTGTGTGTGTGTGTGTGTGTGTGTGTGTTTATATTATATAATCTGGACATGTGCAAGTTGATATTACTGTACTGTTGAACTTTTTATTGAAGAGGAAAATGTTGAATTGATGCAATCATTGTGAAAATCATTACTGAAAGTGGGATTTTTGTGGTAGTCATTTTTTACAATTGCTGAAGCAACATTATTCAGCATCACCATGATTTTTTATACTTGTAAATAAAGGACTCACCTGGTTTGTCAATGACCTCTCCGTTTGTCTGTGTATTTAAAAGAGGCTTATAGCATCGGTGGCCTAGTGGTTAGGCTACCGGACTCATAACCGTGAGATTGCGGGGTCGGGGGTTCGAGCCGCGGGCCCGATGTTGTGTCCTTGGGAAAAGCACTTTACACGAATTTTCCTCACTTCACCCAGGTGGAAATGGGTACCCGGCCATAGAAAGCGAAAGATCTTGTCAGTATGTTAGTGTTTTCGTGCCTATAAATGGCTGCTTGCACTGTATGCTTCCCAGGAAGTTGAGCTTGTTTCAGAATGCTCTCAGGTCTGCTGGGGTAATAGTATAGATTGTGACGTGCATAGAGCTTGCTGTTGAGCGGGGATTTGCGCTATACAAATGCTAACTATATTATACATCGTCGCAGTTGCTAGCAATTTACTTAAGTCTAAATATCGAGAACTCCCAAAGCTTTATCAAAGAATGAAAGATGCATCTTTCAACATCACCAAAATGCAGTTTAACCCTTTTGGAGCCGTGCTGGCCTTGCCATCTTGTTGCCATACCGGCTTTTGCCTGTAGAGCCATATAAATGATATGGGCTTTTACCGGCATGATACACCCGCCTCTAATGCAGGCATAGAAATAAGAACATTCCACTTTAAATTTAGATGCTGACGTCCTAGGTCTTTGTATGTGTGAAATTTAATTGAAATGTGTCTTAGATCAAAAGTAAAAGCAATTTTTTTGCTACACCCTCGTGAACCCCTGAAAAACACTGAAATAATTTGGTTATAGGAAGCCATCAGCTGGCCGCCATTTTGGTTCTGCTGTGCTGACCTGCTGACCGATTTTATGGTGTTAAGAGGGTTAATGCTATGGTCAAGGTTTATATTTTTCCTGTTTTTCATGAGTCCTGATGATACATTTGTAGGAGAAAACACTATAAAAACTAGATTCTTGTCTCTGGTGTAAAAAGTACCCAAACTGACTTAAGTGGATTGCTTGCAACTCCAACGACATGTACAAATGTACAATGTATGATGTTCAGGTCAAAACAAAGTTACTACAAAATAAACTGAAATGTCCGTTTAGCAGGGTATTTGGGTTTTTTCGTGTCTTTTAAAACTACAAGCGTTTTTAAATCTGTTTATGAAAACTCTTGTACTCTCTAGACTAGAAGTAACTGCACTAAGTGAAGCCACAGTAACTTGACATCAAAGCTCTTAGGTTTGTAAATACAGTAAAACACGGATAGGTTAAACACAGAAGACTCGAAATAATGCTTCCGTCGAACTGTGCCTGCGGTTTTGATTTTTCTTTCTTCTCTTTATCTTTGTAGGATATCCCTCGAACTACCGAGGCCGGTCCCAACGAAGTCGAGCTATCCGTGTTATACTGTATTATGCAGATAAGAGTCTTTCTTCACTGAAATACTGACAGTAGCTTCTCATCAACAGCTCACCCTATTGGTGCTGATTATTTTGATTCACCATGGATTGCAGGCTGAGGAGCAAGTCTAGACGAGATCCTCAGTCACAATCTAGTATGTTCCCCCAACTATAGATGTAGGCTAGTATATACACGAGTAACTCCACATTTGCTTCTCCCTACCAAATTAAAAAAAAAAGTTTTAGTAAGTGTTTTAGGGCACTTGCAACACAATACGGTCATATAAGTGCTGAAGATCTGATTAGAGGTGGTACAAGAGAGTAACAAGTACAAAAAAGGAAGGGCAGAGGTAAAGACGATAGATGTTTGATAGGAAAGAAGAAGCAAACCACACAAGAGCACCCGCCATCCACCCACACCAAATTTTCGTTCCTTTTTGATCCGTGTTTACCACAAACCAGTGTAGCTATTGGACAAGACATGTGACTGGAAGTGGAACCTAGCAAAAAAGCTCCCACATGCGCTATTGAAAGTTGAAAGGACAGATGTTTTAATCCTGAAATAACTTGATGGGTCTAATTTGAATGTTGTGTACTTGACAAAATCATCAGCATAATGCTTCCCCACTCCTCCTACAGTTGAACCTACAACTGCTCATTACAAAAGATTGGATGACTAGGTATACATCTGTAAGATACCATAAAAGTTGGGAGACATGGAATCTTACAGTTCCTTGTGGGAACATTCAACCATGATTTTAAAAAAGTGACGCCTATTTAAAAAAATGAGAGCAACAATCAATGCAGTTTCTAGAGGTGCAAAAACATGTTCGAGACTGCTCTTTTATCATCTGCTCCTTTTTTGTCAGTGTTCTGTGGTACAGCAGTTCGGTGCTTCGCAGTCGCACGCAGAAGACCTACGTTTGATTCCTGGTGAAAATTTTTATCGGGTATCTCAGTCTTTCTGTTGGGGCACTGTATCTCTTTTAGCCTGCCTTCTAAATGACCTAAATAGTGTCGATGAGGGCATAAACCACATACATGAAAAATTGTTTTTTCACATCTTGTGACATAAGAAGATGACATGAAACCTTGGACTCAAGGGAAGGAGATGAATCCCTTTTCTTCTTTATTATAATATCCATTGACCGACTAAATGTATACCTCCCGTCAAAATGATTCTTATCTGAGCAATCTAGGACCCCATGAAATAACTAGTCCAGCAGGAGGCATCTGCCAACAACCTATGACAGCGTCTGTCGGATAATGCTGTGGATCCCTGGACAACACACAAACATAAAAAAATTATTCCAAAAGTATAACAAAGGCACAAACTCTAGGAAAAGCCGTCTTCAACAAACTGCTAAAGCCTATCTGGTGTATTATAATATTATACAGTAGTCTCTGCCGGTAAGATCCCGCTGTTTTAAGAAAACAGGATTTTTACTATTCAAAAGTCACCCCTAAGATTCTGCTTTGACTCTGAGGGACTGCATTCGGCTAAGATCCTGCATTTAAGATAATAATTTATGAAACAAAAACCCAGATGAGCAAAGCACATCAACCAAGAGTGAAAATTTGCGATCACTGAACTGCCCGTTGTGTCACAGATTAGCCACTCTTGTGGATGTGATCAAATGTCTGTTGTAAATCTCGATGTAACAGTACAAAGTTTACCCCAGATGCCCTCATACTGAGGTGTGAACTCGTTGAGCAGTTGAGCTCTCCACCTAAACTTACATCATATGCTGGGTGGGTAGGGCCTAAATGTTCGCTCTAGGTGGAATCACATTGAAGTGTGAACTCTTCCCTGACGTTTGCAACAGTTGCCCCCACTCCTGAATTAGCGAGACAGACTGAATTTTGACTGATGTGGTCAAAACACAATGGTCTGTAACAACAAAGGCGGGGGAACTCGGTCAGAGATGGAAAGCTAGAGCTATACTTTTTGGACAGGTAAATGGGAGTAGCAACTGGATAAGTGTAGATCTTGAGACTCACGATAGGAAAATAAGTGAAAATGGCATTACTCATACCACTGTGATTGGTCACCGAGGTTGACCACTCTTTATTCGTCATAAGTCATATAACCATCCAGAGGTCATGCCAGTACATTTTAGCGTAAAGTGAGACCATTTATACTGGTTGTGGGCCTGAACATGGGCCACCCTGGAACCTCACCTTCGTGTGTCTGCTAAGATCCCGCATTTTCCTTGCTCCCGAGCACCGGGATCTTAGGTGGAGACTACTGTATAGAGACAGCGGTAACTTTCCTGAATTTTATCTCAATAGACAGACATTTCATTCTCTCTGGAGAAAAAGTGCTTCCAGATTTAAAAAATAAAAGAAACAATTGAACTTGTTATCACATTTATTATATCCCTTGAATTACTATTTCAAAAGCATAGCAAAGGCAAACAATAAGTTTATAACAGTCAATTCAAATTAAATTAAAACTTGGACCAAAAATAATTTTATGTACACAAATGAATCAATTTCCCATATGAGCAGTCACCTTGTTGAGCCAGTCCAGTCATTTTCACATTCTCACACAAACATTGACAATTTGATAAGACTCCTAAAGGGTGAAGTCGTACATGGATTGAAGTTGAAGACCATTTTCATTACTGCATGGTAGGAAAAAAGTACATGGAGACTTGCATGTAGTTTAGAAGAAAAAAATTGAATTCTACATAATGTTGCTCAACATTTCACCAATTGGGGCTTCATCAGGAACAATTCAAATAAAACAACAGAACAATAGCTTTACTGCAACAAAAATGTTGACTTATTTCACGGTTGTCAGTAGTGCATAAGAATGTAGGTGGAAAAACTGACTGAGGCTTTGAAAAAAGAACATTAAACTGTACATAAAAATGTTGTTGCACAAAGGAAAGGGGGGGGGGAGTGAGTGAAAGGGAGGAGAGGGGTTACTGTGGTGCTGTTACTGTTAAAGAGTTAGGGAAGGGAAGGTCGGATTAGTCGGATTTTGGTCGGAGAAGAGCAATCGCGGTCGGAAATCGCGAGAAGTATAACAATGTACCCGTAAAATGCGAAATAACGAATGAAAAAATGTACAAAGGAAAGTATGTTCTTTTCGACACTGGGTTAGATCGTTTACGATATTAAAAGGGCTGATTACTTATTTATTGCTATGAAACTGTTGTAAGAATCGACACTGCATTTCAGTAAAATTATTTTGCCCGTCTACCGATACTTAGTCTGCGCGGAACTAGCCTAAGTCCGCCATTGTCTCTGAGTGGGAAGAAAGTCTCAGCTGACTCTCAGCTGCCACACGTGTTTTGTGATAAAGGAGTCATATTACTGGATCTAGATCTACATTTAATTTGTTTATAAGTCTACTGAACAAATGAGGTTTCCTATTTTTTCAAGTAGATCTAACCCATTATCTTTCACAGATTTTAATCGAAATAATAGTCAACGAAACAGTTTTAGTTTAGGCTAGGGATTAGGCCTACCTTTGAGCAAAGCGTCTAACTCGAACTCGAATCGCTTGGCTGCCTTGGCGCTAAACCTATAGACTCTATACCTAATTGAGTATTGCCTACTATAATAGATCTAGTTTACATAGTTAGATTTGGTCATATATACATGTCTAGTAGATCTAGGTCTATTTAAATAAAACATTTAGATCTATTTTTCAAATCTGGATCTTAAATAATCCCTCTCTCTCTTTAAAAAAAAAAAAATTTCTACCGGGACCTCACTTGTTTAGTAGATCTAGCGCCAGCTTACTGTGATTACCTTTCAGAATGGGAAATTTTTGTTACCGATAAGCACTATATTTTTGGCGGAACTTTATTTATTAACTTGCTATTGTGCACCTTCACAAAGCGGCCACCATTATGAATCTCAGATATTTATTTCATACAATTTGATTTGTTTCATCAGTAAAACTTGAACGAAACCTAGATTTATCATTCCAAACGGACAGTTTATACACCAGTGTTGATTTAACATTAGAGTGATAAGTAGATCTATGACGTTTTGAATTTTCAAAATACTTGACTATCTAGATCTATTCTAAGCTTACCAGCCGGCCTGGCCCTGGTTTGCTGTGTGATACCCACAAGACCAAGTATGAAATAAACATGTAGATCTAGATCTAGTAAATTTTACAGAGTCTGGTATAGATCTATTCTACCCTTATTGCCAATGGCTGAGAAGGAAGACATTTCTAAGATACTCCATCAGTTATCTAGTTTTCAATTACAATTTGATCAAATCAATGAACTGTGACCACAGAACTGCAGTGGGAGGATAGAGCTGTCGGTGGCTTGAAAAAAATCCTCTCGTCTTGCTGGTGACTGTTTTGATCAGGAAACGGCTAGAATCTTCAGACAATTTGAAAATAATTCATCAACGTTTTCGGACAGTGCATTACAAAAGATTCGATAACCTTGAGAAACAAGAAAGTAAATCTCCTGCTCAAGATGTGAACGCGGATCTAGCGAATGACACATCAGACCACGACAGGTCGAATAGCGATCCCACTACTACCAGT